ATCACATGGTCTATTGTGTCAAAAGCTGCACTTAAGTCCAATAAAATCAGAGCTGCCGCGTTACCTGCATCTCTGATTATACGGAGGTCATTAACAACTCCTAAAAGTGCAGACTCAGTGCTGTGACCTGCCCTAAAACCGGACTGAAATTTGTCTAAGGTCTAAATTAGGCTTTTTAAGAAGTGGCTGAATAACCGCCTGCTTAAGGCCTGTTGGAACAACTCCATTATGAAGACTACTGTTAACAATAGAAGTAATACTCGGCCCAACAACATCAACCATCTCCTTAAGAAGACCACATCGCAACCACCAGATGTAGGCTTCAAACGCATAATGATGTCCATAACTTGCGCCAGAGACACCTGCTCAAAGAGTTCAATACTCCTTACACAAGCTGGTGATATCACAAACTCAACTGAAGACGTAGGCAGACTAGTTCTAATCTTTTCTACTTTTTCCACAAAAAAAGTCTGAAACATTTCACATACCTCCAATGAGGGGGTCAAGGTAGAACATCCATTCGGATTGAGAAGTCTATTAATTGTTGAGAAAAGGGCTGCAGGGGCATTATAATTCTGTGCAATGACACTTGAGAAATAATTTTGCTTAGTTGTTTAGTTGTGTCCTCTTTTGGAAGGCCAAACAAAGTAGTTTTGCTTTCACAACAAAACACACAGCTTCTCCACGACATGGCATCAACAATACTACAGCGATAATCAAAGTTACCTCTTTCTTTGCGTAAACATTTGGGCACAGTGACACAGACATGTGAGGGCATGTTAAACGAGGCGTTTTAGGAGGACGTGGACGAGTCTTAACTCTTATAAAGTATATCTCTCTGTGTTTGAGACTTTAGTCTTTGCAACTTTAGGGATCTTACTATGCCACAACAGCTTGTAACACTCCAAAGAGAAAGGAAAACTTGAAATCGCATCATATGACCCTTTTAACAGGTGACGCTTTTCTTGCTTCATCCACTATATGGACGAAGACTCAAATTTCCCAATGAGCCATACATTTTGTCTTTTATTTTTAGACCATATTCTTGTCATGCTTTCTTAGCAAAGCAGGTTCTGAGGTGTAAAAAGGAATGATTACATCCATCCATCTGCAGTACCGAGACAGAGACCTTTAGTTCTCTGCTGCTCTGTGGTGCGCTGGCACCATAAATTATTGGCTTGGATTAAGAGTGCATTAAGAAACGAGATCCTATCTGCGGTTCATTTGAAGATCCGCACGGCCTCGTGGTCTATTCACCAAACCCTCTCTGCCTGCTTGAGTGTTTATTTGCGGCTCACAGACATTAGTACTCAGCCGATGTAGTGCTCAGTGGAAGTTCTTTGAAAAAAAAAAAAAAACTTTGTTTGAGAGATAGGAGGTGGCGCTCTACCTGAAAACGTGCCCACGTAGTTTAGATAAACTAAGTGCAAAAAAGCACTGCTTTTTTTCCTCAGATGCCAACCAGCTCAAAAGCTCTAAATAATAGAGCCATGGCTGTGTATTTGACAGTATGATAGATGTGAAATCTCAGCGTCCTTCAAGGACTAGGCAGTGATGAGATTGCTGTTTTGTATGGCTTTGGGTAAAAGCTTTCTCTTGATGCTTCTAGGTGCGGAAAAGCAAGAGAAAGAGGTAGAGAGCTCAGAAAGCAGTCACCGTTCCCTTTGCAGCTCGATGGCTTTTTGATAATAGCTCAGGTTTATCTGTCACATTGTGAAGCGACTCCTTCGTGACATGATCCATTGATTTTGTGCTCTGAAGGGCCTGTTATAGCCGGTCCAGGAGAAGCGTGTGGCCAGTGATACCAGCCGAGGGCTGTATATAATACAGTAAAATGTGATGTGTCTCTCTCTTTCCAGGGGCTTTTTGCATCCCGGTCTATATGCCCTATATCTTGACTGGCAGGTGGATGCTGGGCCGTGGACTCTGCAAGCTGTGGCTTGTGATGGACTACTTGCTGTGCACGGCTTCCGTCTTCAATATCGTCTTAATCAGCTACGATCGCTTCCTGTCCGTTACCCGAGCTGTAAGTATCAACATCCAATCAGTCTACTTAAAGTAATAGTCAGTAAATGCCTGTCCAAACTTGCAAGTTATGTTTTCAGTGGAGCACAAAATAAGAAATGATATTGTACTGGCTACTGCTTTCCAGAAATTGAAAGTGCAGCGTTGTCGAGCTCCAGACGTTAGATTAGATTGAACTATTTTTATCAGGACTCTTCAGTATTGCATTAAATATATGAAAGGTTGAAATTTTTCTTGCTTCGTCCACCATACTGGGTTTATGTTGTCTCAACACAATGCATTACTCTGGTTCAGCTGAAGCAGATTTTGAGTCATCCAGCTCTTAACCTCCTCTAGGCATGCAAATAGCAAATTAGAACCGTTGTTCTCTCCCACTCTCATAGGTAAATAGATCTGAGTATCATCCACATATAAAATGGTACGACATGCCGTATTTAAAAAAAATTGAACCCAGGGGCAACATATACAATGAAAATAAAATAGGGCCAATAACAGAACCCTGGGGGACCCCACAAGTAACAGGCACTGCCGTTGAAACAAAGTTACCATACTTTACAGAGGATGATCTATGTGACAGATAAGACTTAAACCACTCTAAAATGGTCCCACGAATTCCAATTAAATGGGATAACCGCTTTATAAGAATCACATGGTCTATTGTGTCAAAAGCTGCACTTAAGTCCAATAAAATCAGAGCTGCCGCGTTACCTGCATCTCTGATTATACGGAGGCCATTAACAACTCCTAAAAGTGCAGACTCAGTGCTGTGACCTGCCCTAAAACCGGACTGAAATTTGTCTAAGGTCTAAATTAGGCTTTTTAAGAAGTGGCTGAATAACCGCCTGCTTAAGGCCTGTTGGAACAACTCCATTATGAAGACTACTGTTAACAATAGAAGTAATACTCGGCCCAACAACATCAACCATCTCCTTAAGAAGACCACATCGCAACCACCAGATGTAGGCTTCAAACGCATAATGATGTCCATAACTTGCGCCAGAGACACCTGCTCAAAGAGTTCAATACTCCTTACACAAGCTGGTGATATCACAAACTCAACTGAAGACGTAGGCAGACTAGTTCTAATCTTTTCTACTTTTTCCACAAAAAAAGTCTGAAACATTTCACATACCTCCAATGAGGGGGTCAAGGTAGAACATCCATTCGGATTGAGAAGTCTATTAATTGTTGAGAAAAGGGCTGCAGGGGCATTATAATTCTGTGCAATGACACTTGAGAAATAATTTTGCTTAGTTGTTTAGTTGTGTCCTCTTTTGGAAGGCCAAACAAAGTAGTTTTGCTTTCACAACAAAACACACAGCTTCTCCACGACATGGCATCAACAATACTACAGCGATAATCAAAGTTACCTCTTTCTTTGCGTAAACATTTGGGCACAGTGACATAGACATGTGAGGGCATGTTAAACGAGACGTTTTAGGAGGACGTGGACGAGTCTTAACTCTTATAAAGAATATCTCTCTGTGTTTGAGACTTTAGTCTTTGCAACTTTAGGGATCTTATCTATGCACTAACAGCTTGTAACACTCCAAAGAGAAAGGAAAACTTGAAATCGCATCATATGACCCTTTTAACAGGTGACGCTTTTCTTGCTTCATCCACTATATGGACGAAGACTCAAATTTCCCAATGAGCCATACATTTTGTCTTTTATTTTTAGACCATATTCTTGTCATGCTTTCTTAGCAAAGCAGGTTCTGAGGTGTAAAAAGGAATGATTACATCCATCCATCTGCAGTACCGAGACAGAGACCTTTAGTTCTCTGCTGCTCTGTGGTGCGCTGGCACCATAAATTATTGGCTTGGATTAAGAGTGCATTAAGAAACGAGATCCTATCTGCGGTTCATTTGAAGATCCGCACGGCCTCGTGGTCTATTCACCAAACCCTCTCTGCCTGCTTGAGTGTTTATTTGCGGCTCACAGACATTAGTACTCAGCCGATGTAGTGCTCAGTGGAAGTTCTTTGAAAAAAAAAAAAAACTTTGTTTGAGAGATAGGAGGTGGCGCTCTACCTGAAAACGTGCCCACGTAGTTTAGATAAACTAAGTGCAAAAAAGCGCTGCTTTTTTTCCTCAGATGCCAACCAGCTCAAAAGCTCTAAATAATAGAGCCATGGCTGTGTATTTGACAGTATGATAGATGTGAAATCTCAGCGTCCTTCAAGGACTAGGCAGTGATGAGATTGCTGTTTTGTATGGCTTTGGCTTCAAATATTCCAATTGTTGCCTCCCACAAACGCATACAAACCAAGTTTTCGCTTGGTGCCTCAGATGATGCACTGCACATTTCCCTTTTGTCTGAAACAAATGAGTTGTTCACAAATCCCACAAGACACTGAAGACAGTGTTATTGCAATCAGATGAATAATAAGCGAATGACTTGCTGCCCCGGCGACAGATATTAGATAAGAGCGGCCCACCAGACGAATGAAGCTCGCATCCTCTGTGGATCCAGCGTTCAACAGCTCTATGGTCATGAATCTGTTAGTGCAATTTACTGCAAATATCCGCTATGTTAGTCATGGACGGCATCATCAATTTATTTTCATACTTCATAGTGAGTCAACCTTAAGACCAGTGGGTTATTAAAAATCCAAACTTGGGCTCTGTTCCAAAACCAGTTGAGCTGCCTTGCTGTCTTTATCCCAACTGAAATGAACCTCATAAATGACCAATTTTGAAAGTTTTAGAGTATATACACTTCAAAATAAAGGTTGCAAAGGAAGGTTTTCACAGCAATGCCATAAAAGATCCACTTTAGGTTCTCCAAAGAACCTTTCAATGAACAGTTCTTAAAAGAGCAATTCTTTCTTAGAGTAAAGAACATTTGAATCATCTAAAGAAGCTTTTGTGGAATGGAATGTTTCCATTGATATTAAAGGGTTAGTTCACCCAAAAATGAAAATTCTGTCATTAATTACTCACCCTCATGTCGTTCCAAACCCATAAGACATTCGTTCATCTGCAGAAAACAAATTAAGATATTTTTGATGAAATCCGATAGCTTTCTAACCCTCCATAGACAGCAAGAGAACCCGGAAGAGAACAAATCGTTGAATAAAGTCATCATTTTTGTTTTCTTTGCGCATTAAAAGTATTCTTGTAGCTTCATAAAATTACGGTTGAACCACTGATGTCACATGGACTATTTTAACAATGACCTTTCTGGGCCTTGACTGTAGTAGTTCCCTTGTTGTCTGTGCAGGATCAGAAAGCTCTCAGATCTCATCAAAAACAATTTCATCAAAAATATCTTAATTTGTGTTCCAAAGAGGAACGAAGGTCTTATTGGTTTGGAATGACACGAGGACGAGTAATTAATGACAGAATTTTCATTTTTGGGTGAACTAACCCTTTAAAGATTCTTCACTGATGCCAATAAAGAGCCTTTATTTTGAAGAGTTTATGAAAGGCTGCCATAGAATTTGGCCGATTCATTGCAGTATAATTATGCTTCCTATCTTTTGCGTCAGAAGTGCACAGACAATGCCTTAAACTGCTTCCTACATGGGTAGCTCACTAGAAGATGGGTTTGTTTTGTAACGAATTTAAAAAGTACAGGAAGTACTTTTTGGTCCTGTATTGCACTGCACCGCTGTATTGTTGCACAAGTGTTTTTTAAGTGTCCCTCTCAGTCGTTCTAGTGGCTTGACTAAATTCTAGTTTATGACTGGCATGCTACAGACAGCTATTTTGGACATGCAGGCAGCTGACCAGTAATTCTGTGGGGCTGTAATGATTCACGGGGAGCGACTATAACAAGGCTGCCCCCTCTCCTGACCTTTACATCCTGAGAGAGGCCTCTGATGAAAACCACACGGTAAAAGTCATGTCTAAAATAAGGAAACCACATATATGTGTCTCTGTGTTACAGTTTAGTTGGTGATCTGAAGAGGGTTACCCAGGTAAAAATAAAGTATACTTAAATGCACTAAACAATACTTAAGTACAAGCAAGTACATTTGTGCTAAATAAAATTGTGAAAGTTATACACTATACACTAATTAAAAGTATATTTCAGTAGTACTTCAGTACACTTGAAAAAGTATACTAAATACCACTGATATTTAAATAGATTTTTAGTGCATTGAAATAAAGTTTTATTTATTAGTTTTATTCGTGTATTTCTTAAGTGTGCTCTGAATACTTTAAAAATGGTTCATCTTAGTAGACTTTTATATAGTAACCATACGTTTAAATTAAACTGATTTTATTAAAAATATATTACTAATGTACTAGTTATAAGTACATTTTCCCAACTGTGGTACTTAAGTATACTTAATATAAATGCACTAATTGATTTTAAGTTTAGTAAGATATAGTACACCAAATACACAGAAGTGTTTATGATGAGTATATTCAAAAGATGGGTTCAAGTGGTAACTAAATACATTTTTAATACAGAGATAGTATGTTAAAAGCGCATTTTAGTTCATATTCATGGTGTCTCAAAATAGCACAGTTGAGTACACTTAGATGTTCTTAAGATTAGCTTAAGTGTATTTTAGTGCACTTTTTTCACCTGGGTTGAAGAGTAAAACCGACAGCAGACATGCTACTAACTTAACTATCTTTTTCAGTACCAAGCTACTTTATCCAAAGTCACTATTTTATGTCCGTAATTTGAGGAAGTAATCAAATATGCGCTTCTATCTCTCTCAGATATAGCACTGGCAAGACATTATAGTGAATCGGTTCATTCGGATGTAAAAGTGTAAATTTATCTGTCCAAGTTTAATGCTGTCACTTTAATCAAGATTCATTCATTCAAATCCATCGTTTTTGAGCGAGATAAATACTGCTCTGATTAAATGGTTAATTATATAGTCTAAAAGTTATATATTTGAAAAATATCACCCGTTTGAATTGCTTTAATGTACTTGTCTGCTTTTTGTTCGTAGCTTGTGTATCGAACTGGTTTTTAAGGAGTAGCTGCCCATCGATTAACTACTTTAAATCATGAGTTGCTTGTACAGTTTTAAAGTAGCTGGATCTGAAGTGGCTGTCAGCTTTGAAAACCACGTGGCTGCACACCAGCTCTTCTGGTGAAATCATAAAAGGAAGGAAGGGGAAGGAAGTTCAATATTTTTTTCCATTCAGTGTATGCATTTATCTCCATTGCAAACAGCAAAACGATGCTGAATTTGGGTTCTTGAGGTCCTTAAATAACCTCTCTTCACATTCAACTAAACTGTTGAGCAAAATAAGCTCAGAAAACATGGGAATGATGCCTTACTGTGAAAGACGAATGCGCTGAGCGAAAATGGCGTTAAAGCCCATTTCCCAGTCCTTAAACAGCTTTTGACTTTCCAGAGCAGGGTTTGGGCGAATTATGAAATGCAAATATTGATTTCCTGTGGAAAATTTAGTATCAAAATTGTTAAGAAACATTAAGGAATAGATATGCGCTACAATAACAAATTTACAAGATCTTGCAGATGTATTGAAAGGTAATTTAGCTGCTTGTGACTGAATGTCTGGAGCATAACTTTTTAATAGATTATGCAACGACATCTCAGCAGTTTATTCCGCCGTGGCTTCATGCATAATGTATTAGAATTTGCATATTTTGTATGTCTTATCCAGCTCTTCTGAAGTACTCATGGTTTATTGTCGTTACTTCCTGTTGACAACACGTCTATGGGCTTTATCTGAGATTGCTTTTGAAAGAGTAACGATCCGTCATCCGTCATAAATGACAAAGTTAATGCTTTTCAAACCTCAAATGTCATTTCAAAAAGTCTTGTCAGTAATTGAAAGTAGAGGTTTATGTGATAGTATCAGTGGCATTTGACAAGCATGTCTGGCTTTAATTATTCTCCTTGGTGGTGAATTATTTAAATCAGAGATGGTTCTTTCCTTAAGTATGTTCTGTACAGAATAAGGTTCAGGAAAGGTAGTGTTTTTCCAGAGTATGTAATGCATGGGGATTAACATAACAACAATCCCCAACCTTTGATATATTTTCTCATAAGTACTATTGAATATGATTATTTTGTGCAGATTTGTTGGTCAAGCTGTCTCAGTCATATGTCATTGCAAAATAATCAATTGTTAATAATTAAATGGTTACGTGTAAAATAAAATAAAAACAATTTTTAGAAGATTTTTTAACTGACATTTTCATGGAATTGAACATCTCAAATGTTCATTATTATAATGAAAAATGTATTCTCTTTATTAATGAGAAAAAACAAGTATGTATTTATACATAATGGTATATTATTTAAGTATCACAGCAATCCAAAGTCAATTGATAAATGTGTTTACATGAAACCGATGTCACAATGCAAAAAAAGCTTCTCCTCTATTAAAGCAGTAGTGCTTTTCGATCGGGCGGCACATCAAAACTGAAATGGGCATTATGTCAACAAAACTTCACCATCTCCAGTGTCCCAGAATCCAGTTCAAGGGCTTTAGAAGGTGTGAAATACCTTGATGTTTGTCTGAGGTAGTTACCGACATATTCCTCACTCCCTAAAGTCTATGATTTGCTGTAATTTCAAGGCTGAATGGCATTAGTTCATAACAAGAAAACACCCTTGAGGGCTCCTGACTTTTTCGAATAGATGATTCCTTTCTCTGGTTGTCATCTTTCCAATTTTCTCATTTTTAAATTACTGAAATGAAAAGTGTTTCGGCCTGGACTCTAGAGAGTGAGGTGCTATGGCGAAGACAGCCTTATTGTCACACTGTCCATCAGCGGAGACAATTACGCTTGTCAATTATTCATTGCTATATTTCAGAAGATTTACAGTTAATTTCAAAGGCCTCCAAATTATCAACATGATCAAATCTTTGAAAAACATGATTGATAGTTGATACTTTTTTATCCAGTAAAAGCTCTTTTAGTGTAATTGTACAAATGTCCACCTTCAGCTCGTGCATCAAGTGTCTTTTTGCTCTCAAATCTTTACTAACTTTTATCAAGTAAACGTCAGAATAACTGTAGTAATATTTCCATATTAACACTTACTGGACTGAAGCAGCTCGGCTTTACTTGATTCTCCATCAATCATATTTTATATGATTATCAGCGATCTTATCATCAGGATCTTTTGAGAAACGTTTGCTTTACTTTTACTGTTCCTCAGTGGAGGAATAATCTTCCCAAGCCTCCAAAACATATCACATCTTTTGAGGAATGTTTATTTCTTCATCTCTCAATCATCATTGGATTGCATTGCATTATGTGTTTGGATCATTAAATCTCATCTTACTGAGACATTATTGGAGATATAGAGTGACAACTAATATTTATATTATTTTATGTAAGTATCTGCCGTACTGTTATAAAGATCTCATTGATTTACAATTACACGCATATGTATTTTATCATATAAATATCAGCATCTGCAGCATGTTGCATATTTTTGATAATTGAAAAACACGTTTGAAATTTAAAAAATATATTTTGTCTGAAGGCGAACATTCCATTTTAATATATATATTGTATTATATGGTATAGAGAAAGGCAGCTTGCTAGGTTTTGAAACCGATCCACAGGAAGTTGTGTCTAAAAAAAGGTAGGAAAAAATGGTATTCATGGTGTAAAGTGATTTAGTCACATGTCTTGATCTTTTATTAAATGTAAATTGTATTTTCATGTCATCAGATTAATCGGACACGCTGATTAATTTATAATAGCCACATTAGTCGAATTGGTCCAAATCATTAGCTCACAGTATAACCGATCAGTTCTGCAGTACAGAAATTGGTTCTTTTTCCTCGCAGTGCTCTGAATCCTAGGCTGTGAATTGAATAAATCATGTAGAAGAAGAGGCAGTCACACTGAGTGTGCATAGACTTTATTGAGTGCGATAGCTGTCAGGGATTACTCCCATTCCAATTTATGACTCTGAACTATGGCTATTTTATGTGTCTCTCTCGTTTGACTTTAATCTTTCGTCTTATTCCATAGGTGAGGTACCGGGCCCAGCAGGGCGTCACTCGTCTGGCAGTGGTCAAGATGTTGGCAGTGTGGGTTTTGGCATTCCTCCTCTACGGACCAGCCATCATCTTCTGGGAACTGATGGTGGGAGAAAGCATTGTTCCAGAGGACGAATGTTTCGCCGAGTTCTACTGCACCTGGTACTTCCTGCTCTCCGCGTCTACCTTCGAGTTCTTCTCTCCGTTCATCTCCGTGGCCTTCTTCAACTTCAGCATCTATCTCAACATCCAGCGGCGGAACCGGAGTCGCATGGCGCATGTGGAGGCCGAGAAGGAGGACGGCTGGAGGGTCATCGACGGACAGGCCTCGTCCGTTTTCTTCGTCAAAACGCGCAAGGTGTCCTCTAGCGAGCCAGCGACCGTTTCGGCCGTGATCAAAGACGACGAGGAGGTTTCGCCGTCATCCAGCGGCGATCCCAGCAGCAGCCACTCCGTGTCTTTGACAATGAAGACGACCGTTAAAAAGCGAGGGTTGCTCAGCGGTTGGGTAAGGACGCGCATAATACGAGCGCAGGAGGCATCAAATCCATGCGCCCCATGTAGAAGCGGAGGACACGCGCGTCTCTTAAGAGATAAGAAGATTGCCAAGTCCTTGGCAGTCATAGTGTGCGTTTTTGGGGTGTGTTGGGCACCGTACACTCTCCTTATGATCATACGGGCGGCCTGCAGCGGTAGTTGTGTGGAACATCATTGGTACGAAGTCACTTTTTGGCTCCTTTGGCTCAACTCTGCCATCAACCCTTTCCTCTACCCGCTTTGCCACAGCAGCTTTCGCCGGGCCTTCGCCAAGATTTTGTGCCCCAAGCGGCTGTCTGTTCGGCCACATGAGGAAAGCCCTTCCTGCCAGTGACATTCTGACGGCAACAAAAGGGATTTAATTCTTTCACACTGAATATTGAAGGATGAAATAAAAGCACCAAGGCAAGAAAGCTAAACATTTCCGCCCAAGCAAATTACGCAATGGAAATCCATGTCATTATTTGATGGAGTAGCATGTTTTGTTCTTCTTTGATGAAACTTCCTGACATAAGATTCTTTATGAAGATTTGACCTTTTATTGATGGATATTAACAGTGCAACTAATAGTGCTGTTGTTATTTGTCTATCTCTTGTCTTGCAGTAACATAGGAAAGGCGTTGTTTTACTCTTGTTAGCTAATGTAAGTTGCATGTTCTGGGACATCTGTGGTGAAAAAGTGATGCAGCTTGTGTTCAGAACATATTCAGTTGACAGTTTGCCCACATCAACATTATTTATTGACTGTATATTCCACTCCATTGACTCACAAGGTTCAGTGAAAAAGAGGTGATCTATGTGAGACGGCATTACAGCTCAAATGAGAAAAGAAAAATATAAGGTGTGTTCTACCACTAAAAACATGAGCTTCACAGTCAGACTGCTATGGACAAGATTTAAACTAATAATGTTTTTGAATGGAAGTTTTGTGAAATTTTTGTGAAATGTGAATTAAGTTCTCATTTTTATAAGCTGAGAATCTTGAAAATGTCAATCAATTCTTATATGAAAGAATTGGAATGTAGCAACTGTGTCATGTGGACAATGTTTATGGTGCTTTTTTTTGTCATTAGTGATCAGCCCTGATCCCTTTTTTTTAAAGTGCTCTCTGGATTTCCAACAATGTCTTCTTTTTGTGTTTCACGGAGGAAATTGTGTCACACCGCTTTGGAAGGACATGAAACAATTTTAATTTTGGAGCATATCTCTTTAAGATTTGTTTTGGTTTTTAATTTTTTTTCTTGACTAGATTCATGGTTACAGTGTCATTGTCAACAACACTGAAATCATTAAAATGGCTTTATGAGTATAACTGTATAACTTTGAGTGTTTTAAAACTTGTTTACAATGATTTCAATGTTTTTTTGGTGTGTTTTGGGGGGGGGGGGGGGGGAGGATCCTTATAAAAGCAACGCAAAAATATTTTGTGGTTTTGTACATGCCAAGTTTTCATCTTGGACCAGTCAGACTGTGCATTCAATTTCAAAGTCGTCAAGACACTTTATAAATTATGTTCTTTATGGTTTTAACCAAGTTATCCAACTGAGGCCAATTTCATTGTAGCCATGATTCAGTGCCTCCCAAGTTCTTTGAGATTAATTTGAATGAATTTGTTCATATCACAGAGGGGCACCATGGATAATCTCCCAAAAGCTCTAGAAAAAGTTTAACAAGGTCCAAAGGCAAGGTTTTCGTTTCCCCCAGAAAAGGCAACGGGATGATCTTTTATTTGATATTCAAACCATATTTGGTCAATAATTATAGTGTGAATTAAAAAGGCCCAATACACCTAGCAATTACAGTAGTATTTTGCATACACCTCTAAAAACTCAGGTCCTATCCCTGGAGCAGTCGCCACGCTTCTGCGGCTCTGATCTGCTTTTTGCTTCAGTGAATTAATAATTTTTTTTTTCCAGATGGCTTTGAGTGCACTCCATTTATCAGTGCTGTTTGGAGCTCAAGTTAATTAAACCCCAATGACAAGCATCCTCATCAGATCCTTGAATTTGAAAATCTAGAATATCATCAGATCCTTGAATTTGAAAATCTAGAATCTCTTAACCAGGTGATGCTGTTGCACTATATGGTGGTCTATATGAAGGGACAGACATGGTTGTTTACATGATCAATGGTTCGAGCATTCAGAGAGCACCGTTTGAAGTGACTTCTTGATATTTTCTACTTGACAGTTCAAGAAAAGATGTGGTTTAATGTATCTTTCTTGCATGTTCCTTTTGTAGCTGTGCAGCAAATAGAAACGCAGAAAATTGGCACGACAGTCGGGGAGCGGGAATGTTGGTTTTAGATTATTAGGCATTTTGTATCTGCACACAATTCTTCAAAAACTATCAAAGGTAGCTGCTGGGAACAGGTCATACTACCATCGAAACAGATCAGCATGAACCTTCTCTCTGAGCATCCCATTGCCTGCGGATGATAACCTCCCACATAAATGTGTGGATGTCAGGCTGTCCTGAATTTACGCTGATAGAATAAGACACACAGAAATAAATTTGTGGCCAAACTCCTTTGAAGATGTTCCACTGAATTGCAGAAGTCTGACTGACTCAAGCTGTTAGCAAGAACCAAGCTTAAGGGTTTAACATTACAATGCAATGTTGGGGACAAGTTTGATTGGGGGCTTATATCATAATTAACGCTCTTACAACTATAAGAAGGTCATTTACTTCACTGAAAAGACCAGATTAGACCACCGCTCTTTAGGGGTTCAGGCTGGTTTATGATAGTTTGGTGCTGGTCTAGGTATTGGAACAACTGGATCAACCATGTTGATCACCTGCAAAACATGTCTACCAGCATGGTCTTTTTGATAAAGCTGATTGACCATGGTAGTTTTGTTGGCTATGCTAGTTCTGGCAAATGCTAATTCCAGCAAAACAGTCACCAGACAGAAGTAGATTAGTTCAAATGAACCTGTCTCTGGTTTGATGGTTGGATGTACTTGATTATATATTGGATTTGATCAAGGTTAATGTGTTTTTGACCATGATTTGCTGTCTTCAATGTGGTAAAAATTTAACAACTTTAACCATTAAAATCACCTGTAGAACTTAACTGGTAAAACTTGTCTAACAGCATGTTTTTTGATGAAGCTAGTTGACCATTTAAATCTTGCTGGCTATGCTAGTTAAGTGCCTTGGTGGTAGATTTTTGTGGGTGATGTGCTCTGGTAAAACAGTCACCAGACAGAAGTATATTAATTAAAAGGAACCCATCTGGTAGCTGTAAAAACTTGGTTAGGGTTAGGTTAATCTTGGTGGAAGGTTTGTGTAGTGGAATTAGATTAGTTCAAATGAACCCTATTTAGTTAAAATAGCCTGACTTGATGGGACTTAGGGGGTACATAGATCAAAACAGGTTGGAAAATACTGGGCTAGATGCCCTTACTTAGATTACTAATATGAAAATTCTCAGTCCCTGGGCTTCCACATTCCCAAAGTTTCTAACACCTAATTACCAGCAGCACCTGCGGCTCCTGTAGATTACGACCCAGATTTTGTGAGACCTTTGCAGTGAATGTCACAGGCGTTCACCCCATTGTTCACCTTCCGGCACAGCAGGCACCACAACAGTCATTAAGGCTAACAGACAGCGGCATGATAAAGTCAGAGGCATGATAGGGTACTAAAGGACACAGTTTGCAATTCCAATTTAAAATCATACAAGCACAACAAACTTGACGGGGGGAAGCTGTCCTGCATAGCAACCTGCTGTGCTTAATGTGCCGTCATTTTCATACCACTACATTATGCAATGTATTTTGTCAAGATGAATGTGTTTTTGACTGTGATTGTTTTTTTTATCTTACATTAGATCTTCTGAGCAGACGTGAGTATTATTTTGGTGCCAGTTTGATTTCCTTCTGTCACGCAGTGTTTTCTGTGGTAAAATGCAAGTTTGATTAGATTCATGGTGGGCGATCGATTTTTGCAAGTCCACATGTTTCAATTTCATCCCCCGAAAAACCCATTTAAGGAGTGTGGATGTTGTCAATGTGTGGCCATATTCCCCATCGAGAGAACTGTTTTTTAAGTTAAGCTCCAAAAATGACAAAAAAAAAGGTACCACAGAAGTGCTCCAGATGTCTTGCACTATATTGAATCCATACTACAGCTTTATCGCAGTGCAATAACTTTGTATTTTGAATGCATTCTAATGCAAAAAATACGGATTGGCACGATGGTAAGTAAATGTCAGAATTGTTGGATGTCAGGTCGCTTTGGATAAAAACATATACAAAATGACTGCTGGCTTACAACTGTTAAAAGATTATTGGTATATTTATTTATGTTTATGAATGATGGTAACTTATTAAGACCCCTTTACAAACGCACAAGATCGTCTACACATCCAACCACCCTCCCACACACACTCTGCTGCAACAAATAAAAAAAGAAAGAAACAGACATTCTTTAGACAGATGGACAGTTAATTTGTTCCAGGACTCTTTTGTTCTCTGTTAACTGCAGGTTAATCTTGTTGAAAGATAAAAATATTTTAGCAGTGTTGTGAATCAGTGCTTGTCAGTCCTTTGAGGTGAAGTACCACCTTTGATCGAATCAGAACATCTAAATTCCCTTTCATTTCTCAGCATTGACATTTTTCGTGTAAGCATAGAGTTGATGCAACTTTTGTAATCTTAATATACAGAAACAGCTATAAGTAACCCTTTTGTAGGTGGATTTCCTCTGAAGTGTGGCTCTATCAAACCGTTGCTCTTTTGCATCAATGTTTGGGGGATGAGAATGTGTTTGTCCAGCCAATGATAAACAGGGAGCACTGTTTGAAAAGAGTCATTAATTATGCATTATTTTCAGGCCTTTATGTCAACGTCCTCTGGGTCCTTATGTAATTATACATTACTGGGTCCTTGACAAATCAAGACTACAGTATAAACTCTCTTGTGTGTGCATGGAAAATGTGTGCTATCCAAACATGTTTTATAAAAATAGCTAGAAATACTTGTGAACTGCTTTTAGGTTGTCGCTGCAATGTACGAGCGAAACCTGTTGAAACTAAAATCATAGTTCATTTACTTCATCATTAAGACTTGAAGTCTGCCTGACTTGACTTGGCTTGGCCTGACCCAAACTCTATAACTTCTACTGTCATACAGAGAGAGTTTTTCTCTCTCAAGGTAGAAAAACTTGTGACTTTACTCCTGCCTACAAGGTGAAGACTTCTTGTCTTAACAGAGGACAAGGTCGGATTTACTGTGCAATGGAGCGGAACGTGGTTAAGTGCCGTGCCGGAGAATACAAGGAAAATGAAGGAAATATGAATCTAGGTTATGGGGATTCATTTAAGAGTCCTTAGCATGCCAGCACGTTCCAAGGACATGTAGCCACATGTTGTGATAGCAGGTGAAAAAAGCATAGTGTTGTGTAGCGTGTCCACAGCAAACTTTCTCAACAGGAGAACTGTCCACAGTGACAATGGCACAATTCGCCCCATGCTCTGGAGTCCAGTTATTTTTAGCACCATGCTGCTGCAGTGAATTTTAAAATGGTTTTGGCTTGGTACTGTGCAAATGGTTGAATAACCAATGCATTTTGATTCATGGTCCTAAATTAATTCCCAGTCCTCTTTTTGGAGATTATCGGATCCCAATTTTAAGTTCACATTTAGATTTAGAAGAAATTGGTCTTATTTTCTGATATTGAGCCTTTAAGAGATAGGCTGCCTGAAATTGGACCTTTGGGACCAAAATGCAATCTGTGAGAGGCATTTGGTAGTGCAAAGCTCGGATATTTGAAAGCCTACTGCATAAAACAATGGCATGAATGTGTTAAAAATACCTATTAGATTACCTTTATTGAGGGAATACACAATTAACAGTAACTTGTCAATAGCACTGAAGGTTAGAGAGCACCAGATGAAATGGGAGAGGGTAGAATAATGAATGGGATTGTGAAGGGGTGTTTTATAAAAACACCCCTTCACAATAAAAATGTCGTTTTGTTGGTAAACAGCAGGTGAAAGACACCCCATTCTCACTCGCAGTGGGGGTGCTGTCAGTTGGCTGGTGGGCGTTCAAACTGGACATTTGTAGGAATGTGACAAAGACACAACACAATAACATTCAGCTGGACTTTTGATGCAATTTTCAGCAAGACACTGGCAGTCAACAAAAAGGCTGTGATGTTCTTTTGCTTCAGCTGGCATTAACAAGTAACTGGACGTTGGACGCGCACTCACAAATAAAACAAGCACAGTGCCACTATGGATTAACCCTTGCAACACCACATAGTACTAAGTATACATGCATAGTACTTAAAGAGGGGATATAACACACAGTTTCTGCCAAGCTCATGTTAATCTTGAAGTACTTAGTATTGCATCCTTCATATCTCCTAGGGGTCTTTAGTTTTATCAGATTTATAAAAGAAAGATACAACTTTACGCTAATCTCCAAAAACTCTTGTCAAGCTCATGGAGGCATGCTGTGGGCAGAGCATGAAGCATGTTGATGGTTGATGTGTCCACGCACTCTTACGGGAGAATTGGCCATAAAAGACATTCCGCCCTTTATGACATCACACAGGGCCACACTCTCAAAAAAAAAAAAACTGAAACTTATATGAACCCTGAAGGAGTGTATTTGGCACATACTGTCATATGTCCAACTCACTTTTTGAAACTTTGGGCATGTTTAGCATGAGAATCAAACTCTTTAGCAGTGTAAATAAGTCACATGAAATAGCATTAGACATCCCCTTTAAAAATAAAGGTTCTTTATTGGTAAGAACTTTTAACATCCATGGAACATCTCCATTCTTCAAAAGGTTGTTTAGTGAAAAAAAGTTTGTTTAGAATTTTTAAATGATCTATTAAGAATTGTTTACTGAAATGGGGAACCAAAAATGGTTCTTCTGTTAAATCGTTGTGAAAGCCCCCTTTTGAAACCATTATTTATGAGAGTGTAGGATACTACAATGGTACTACTATGCTGTTTGGACATAGTACCAAGGTACAACAACGATATTAAATGATAATACCCCAACAATGATGCACAAAAGTGGTCCAATCCTGCTCCTGGTGGGCCACTGTCCTGCAGAGTTTAACTCAAACTCCAATTATGCACACCTGAAACTGCTAATCAAGGTTTTGGCATAAACTTCCAGGCAGATGTGTTGAGGTAAGTTAGAGCCAAACTCTGCAGGACAGTAGCCCTCCAGGACCAAGTTTGTACACCCCTGCAAAGGGTTCTTTAGATCAGTGGTTCCCACCCACGTTCCTGGGGCCATACCAACACTGGACATTTTGCATGTTTCCTTCTGTCTGACACACCCATTTCATGTCAGCTAATGAGCTGATGACCTGAATCAGGTGTTTGATTAAAGAGGCATCAAAATGTGCACTGTTGGGGCGGGGCCTTCAGGAACTTGGTTGGGAACCACCACTTTAGATCAGGGATGTCTAATCCTGTTACTGGAGATCTACCTTCCTTCAAAGTTCAGCACCAACCCTGATCAAACACAACTAGACAAACTCACTAAGATTTCCAGGAGCACTTGGTGATTACAGACAGGTGTTTTGGAGCAGGGTTGGAACTGAACTCTGCAGGAAGGTAGATCTCCAGGAACAGAATTGTGCACCCCTGCTTTAGATTATTAAAATGTTCTTCACACTAAGAAAAAAATTGTTCTTTTAAGAACTGTTCACTGAAAGGTTCTTTTGGAAACCCAAAATGGTTCATCAATTGCAAGGGTCTCCAATACTGCTCCTGGAGAGCTAGGTCAAGGTCTTCAAGGTTAATTGATCATTACAAGCAGGTGTGTTGGAGCAGGGTTGGATCTTGAGGTCTGCAAGAATGTAGCTCTCCAGAAGACCCCTGTTCTACGGCATCACTTCGAAAACCAAGTTTGGAATCTTTATTTTTAAGAGTGCATAGTAAATTCTAGGCATCTAACTAGCAATGGTACGCACTCCCCCATTGCTTTGTTTACTGATAAGAGCTAGTTGCCTGGTACATGTCCAACGCTGGAGTACTTAACACGCTTTGGCTATCAGCACACAGTGTGGGTGTTGAAACAGTGGGTGTGTGGGAGCCACGGCCAGCGTTTGTTTGATTGGGGGGGGGTGGGAGGAAGAAAGAGAGAACGAAAGACCCTTCCTCACTACAGGCACAACAGAAAGGGCTAGACGGTCGGGTTCCTACTGCAGGCAGTGGCACGGCACGCTAATAACCGAGAGACAGCAGCAAGAGCAGAAATTGAGGTGCGCGTGGGCGGTCTGATACAAACGCACCACGCACGGCACTGAAAACCCTTTTCTTCTGGAACATTGAAGACGAGCTGTTGATCTCTTTTCTAGCACTGGCTGTGTGAAGAATGTAATATTACAGTTTTCAGAGGCATTGCTGAAAACAGCCCCCAACATATAGAGGTCACCGAGTGAAAACGGAAAGAAAAACAGCCAGAGATATCGCATGTGTCATCAATTGAGTGATCAAACGTTGGAAAACATGTACTTTAGGAGTGTGGTGCGCTCTAGTGGAGAAATGGCTTGTGCGTCGTCCATTTCTTTGGTTAATCTGCACGAGCATCTGTACTTTTGTACTAATGGTGAAATGGCGTGTGTGTAAAGAGTAACCAGATCAAACAGTAATGCACAACAAATTGACAACCGACAAGTGATTGATCCTCGGATGTATGATATAATGCCGTATAATGTATAATGTTGCAATGCCTTAATTTAAATACGGCAGTGGTTGGTGTATCTGCATATTTAAAATAAACGGCAATTTCTTGAATTATTCATAACTGCAACACATAGATCCTTGCATGTATAAACATAGTATAAAACTGATATTTCCACCTCGATCCGTTGCTTCCATATTATAAAAATAAATAGGCAAATAAGCCCCCTCTAAGCACTAATTTGAAAACTTACCTGCTCTTCCAGACGTTTTATAAATAAAAACCCAAATAAGCCAACCTAGGCTGTTAATTTTAGTGTAAAAAGTGAGTGTTCTTTGGCACATCAAGCAAAGTGCTTAAAAGCCTTTAACCATGTGTTACATTGCATTAATCTACCAACCTCCAATGTAAAAATAACAAAGTCGTTTACTTTAGAGCCAATGTTACAGTGTTTTGCAGAGTCATTCAGAGTTCGACAATGGCACAACTTAATATGTAAAACATTTATTGGATATTGCATACAAAAAAAGACAAATCAAAGTAAAATTGATCACAATTAATGAGACACTTTTGGCATGCGCTCTCCTCTTGTAGGCCTTCAAAAGACTTTGTACAATTTACCCCCTAACAAATTGGATTCATAATTCACAATTTATGGCTCAATTTTACAGCCTTAAACTCACATTTGTATGCTTTTGATGGTAGTTCAAATAGCAATTTTTACTTTACAGTAGATTATTACGACAGATTGACAATTTCGTAGCTTATTAAAATACACCAAAGCACATTGTATCCGTTACATAAGTCACAGCCCTGTCTAATAAAACCTGAAAGAACAAGGAAATGACTTTCCTCTTGAAAACAGTGTACGTAACTAAAAGAAGCTAAATTTAAAATTCACAGATGTGGAGTGTTTGGCAAAGAAAACAGTTTCCGTTCACGTCACATGATGTTAAAAACTAAACAAAAAGGTAGATTTTATTAGCTCAGAGGCCAAGTAACAAATGTACACAAATACAACTTTACTTGAGCTTAATTTCACTTCAATTTTACACAATTCTGTATGCCCCAATTGATACACTATCAAACAATTCGATCTCGCAGAACCTTCAAAAGAACCCTAAAAAGTAAACACGCAGATAATGATAACCCCATTAAAATAACAAAATAGTTCTGCACTGCATTACCTTACAAAAGAAAGAAATTATAAAAATGTTTCCCAGGTCAATTTTTTGTACACACAGCACTGAATATATTCACAAATTTATAAGACCTTTAATGTAAATTTTAAATGCATTTAAAGAGTCTTGTGCACTAGGGTTTTAAAAATCCTGAGGAAAAAAAACTTTCAAAAATATACGATTGTAGCTAAAAAACAAACTACAGTATTACGCAGTTTGTCTGAAAAATTGAAGCGTCAACCCTAGAGCTCAGTAACACTCAGATCAGTTTCTTATAAAAATATTTGCTGCATGCATAATTGTCTGAGAAACATTTCAAATAAAAAAAGTAAAGAGTTTTAAAACTTAAATGCAACAGAATCAACAGGGTGGATGGATGCAGATTACTCACTGGATTCGACAACTAAAATAAAGGTTTTAGTTTATTCAGTCTCATGTTTGCAAATTGCGCAAAGCAAGCAAGAAACAAAGGAAAATTTGACAAGTCAAATTGGTTTCATGCATCGTCCATTTCTTTGGTTAATCTGCACGAGCATCTGTACTTTTGTAAAAGTGTGCTGATTCGGGTCCAATTTCAATGCAGAATTCAACAACCATTTTTCCCAAGCTAAATTCACTCAAATTTAACATTCAACACTACATTCAAACTGAAAACGTTTTGAATATTTAAATGAACTTGAACTTCTTTGAATACTAACTTGAGTAGCTTCTCAAAGTCTTTTAACATTGTACTCATCAGAAAGCACCTGATGAGTACAATGTGTCATTTGTGTATGTTATACATTTAGGTTGAGTAGGGATCTCAAATGTCTCAGTCACTGATTCAAACATACATAATACTATGTAAAGCATGAATCAAAACACATGACGTTTAGATGGTCATTTAGAATAATCTAGTTTCGTTTCCACCCTGTTCATCTGGTTGGCGAAGCACAAAAACATAAGGGACGCTAAGCGACAGCTGTCAGTTACGGGCTATAGTGCACTACAGAACAAAAATAATTCCCCCCTTCATAACCCCACAGTGACGAGAAAATGCATGATTCATTGACATGAATATGCAGATTCGTTAGTCACCGGCTCGCACAAATACTCTCTAATTTCAGGTCATTTGACTCATTCTCGGATGGCATTCGCCAACGGTACATAATGGGATGTCGCCGCCGTTCGGAAGCGCTTCGACTTCTACGGGACGTCTGGAAAGACTATTCATTGATGAGCGGCGACTGAAAAATAGCGTCGCAGCTCAAGATTAAGTGGCTTTACAAATGAGGTCCGTACAAATAAAGGATCGAGGGAGGGGCGTTATGAACTCATGATTCGAAGAATACAAAAGTAGTGGCTCTACAAAAAAGACTGAATTGTGGGAAGGAAAATACTAAAAGTGCGCGGCTCCATCACATGACGGCACATTCTCTGGATCGGGTCTTTGGATCGCCCTGGAAACAAGAGAGATTTTGATTAAGGATATAACTCAACATCTCAAGATCGCTGTTTTACATTAAGATCTTCTTTAACGAACCTGCTGATGGAAGAGATCTTCGTCTCCAAAGTCTCCCTCCTCGTCATCACCGTTCTCCATTTCTATCACGCTTTTAGTGACGGTTCGCTTTGCCACGTCCTGGAAACCAAAGTTCACGTTTCATAATTGGATTCAAAAACAAAGGAAAAGCCAGAAACATGTGACCCTGCAGCACAAAAGCAGTCTTAAGTCACTGGGGTATATGTGTAGCAATAGCCAACAATACATTGTATGGGTCAAAACTATCCATTTTTCTTTTATGCCAAAAATCATTAGGATATTAAGTAAAGATCATGTCCATGAAGATATTTTGTAAATTTCCTACCTAAAACTTAATTTTTGATAAGTAATATGCATTGCTAAGAACTTCATTTGGACAACTTTAAAGATGATTTTCTCAATATTTCGATTTTTTTGCACCCTCAGATTCCAGATTTTCAAATAGTTGTATCTCAGCCAAATATTGTCCTATCCTAACAAACCATACATCAATAGAAAGCTTACTTATTCAGCTTTCATTTGATGCATACATCTCAATTTCATAAAATTGACCCTTATGACTGGTTTTGTGGTCCCGGGTCACATATGTTCTTATTCTTCATACCTCTCCGCTGGAATTAACCAGTAAAGTGAGGATCTTCTCTCCGGTGCCCCAAGAGCTCTGGCTCTTCCACAGCAGGTCTGAAGGAGGACTGTGGGACACGCCGGCATCAGCGCTCCACACCTTTCAGAGAACCAACATTTTAACATCTAGTCAACGTACCGAGATGGATTTAAATGAAATACGGTCCTGTTCGCTTACCGTTACCGTCTGGCCGGCCTTCAGGACAAACTTGGGACTGAATTTATAGGTGATTTCCTCTCCATCGGCAATTTGTCTCTTTAGTCGCCAGCTGCCCAGAGATTGATCCTAAATATGGAATAAAAAAAAAATTAAAAAAAATGACATATGTTGTATATGATGAAATACTTTTTTCCTTTGTTCTTTTGTAAAGCAAGGCACCACATGGTAAAAATATTAGCTAATAAACATCACAATACTATGGAAGCCTGTTTCTGCCATTGAATAAACAAATAAATAAATAAAAAGGTAATTACGATTTCTCAGCATTTTGACTTTCAGAAACTCGCCATTCTGAGAAAAAGACAGAATTGTGAGGTATAAAAAAAAAGTCAGAATTGCAAGTGTATCTCACATTTCTGACTTTATAACTCACAACTGTGAGTTTATATCTCGTAATTGTGTGAAAAAAAGTTGTAATTGCTAGTTTATATCACATAATTGAGAAAAAAGCCAGAGGTCTCTGGCAATTGCAAGAAAAAAAAGACAGAATTATGAGATAAAAAGTCACAATTACTTTTTTTTATTTTTTTATTCAGTGGCGGAAACATGCTTCCATACCATACTTCCCCAGTTGATTGATTACGTTTTCTTAAATGTTATGTTTAAATATGTAAATGAGGCATTATCTAATTAAGTTTGCACTAATATGCATATATTTCCAGAACATAAATGGATAAAGCCAGGTTCAAAATTTATATTTATTTTTGTTAATATATTGGGTGTTAAACATATATATCAGGCTATATTCAGCCTGAACAATTAATCTTTCAAAATTATACATCGTCCATTTATATTAAACTGCACACTTTGTAAATAACATATCTGCACACTTATAAACATATCTGTACATTTATCTAAACAATTCATTTTTTCCTATACTTCTATTTCTGTATATAGTACACTATTAAATTTTTCAAATTTTTCTTTTTTTATTATATTAGTGTTATATTCCATCCCTACGGTGTTATTCCTATGTATGTCTGCACTATGTTTGTACTTTCTTCTGCACTGGAAGCTCCTGTCGTCAAGTCAAATTCCTTGTGTGTGTAAACCTACTTGGTAATAAAGCTCTTCTGATTCTGATATAAAGGGGATTTATGATTCCTTTTTGTCACTCCATAAATCAGAAAATACTGTCAAAAATAAATAAAATGTTATAAAATCAGGCGACTGATATATGAACAAACCCCTCTACAAAAAGCCTTCAGTATATAGATAGAAATAAAACTTAAGTTTGGTGTAAGTGCTGCTGAAGTGCAGAAAATAAATGTACTGCAGTAACACTTAACGAGTATTTGAGACGTTTTCTTTCCACTAGTCAGAAAACAACACTTTATGAAAAGCCACAATTTCAAAACCAACGCATGAGAGAAAACAGTGCTTTTACCTGTAGCGTCTTCCCCTTAAAACATAAAGTGAAACTTGTGCAAAGTGACGTATTTATTTTTCCCCAAAGACTCCCCATTGACCTTGTCAGAGTTGTTCCTGAGGGTCACCGATTTCCCCTCCAGGTCGATCTCCTCGATACTGACGCTGCCCGTGGCTTCGGCCTCCTGGCTGATCTGCACTTTAGGAGCCGCAGTGGACGCTTCCTCCAGCTCCACGCGCTTTCTCTTGGCGCGGGTGCTACGTGAAGACATAGAAGTGCTGCTCGCTGTGGTGCGGGACACTGTGACCCGTGAGGACGGACTGGGGGACAACTTCAGCCTGCAGGAGACGGGACGCACGTGTTAAATCACGTATATGATATCAAAAAGTGAGTAAAAACAATAAATGGGCAACTGCACCATGAAAACGATTGTTTATGCAACTACTCTGTTGTCTTACCTTTCCTTCCTATCATCTGTGCTCCAAATATCTCAACTGCAAACTATCTTTAACTCGTCCCAATCTTCAAGATGGTCTAGCTGCCTGCTGGTCTTCAAGTCTTTGTGCTAAATGAGCTCACTGACCTCTCGTTTTTCGACAACGCCGCTATCGGTTCGCTCACGCACAAGCGAGACACAGTTATCAATCCAGCGTGACATTTTACAACCTACCTTACTACTCCGGCACGCCGAGTGTGTTAAGTATGAAGTGTAAAAATGTGAAGCGAGTTTGACGAGCCTTTCTGAACAAGTTACGGACCGCAGGTGTCCGTGAAGACGAACGATGATAATAACCAGCTGCCAGAACTCCATCAGCAGATGCAAAATGCCTCAAAAACGCCTAGTTTGTGTGCATCGCTGACTTAAATGCTTGAATGCGTCACAAAACCAAGTGAGCTTCCTACCTTGATGGCGTTTTCTGCCGCAGGCTTGTCCAAACCTAGTAATCTGTGTGTTCAAACGTGTGTTTCAAAAGCAAACATGCTGCCTAACAAGTCACCATTTGTAGAAAAGGTACAGCACTCTTAGGTGGTTTAAGCTAGTTTTGAAGCATTTTAGACATTAGAAACGCACTCCGATGTGTCTGATGTTCAATATGCTTTCTCAATAGGCAGCACTTTTGGCCACAGGCCTGTTTGAATGTTTCAAAGCCTAGCGAGCCAATTAGACAGCAATTTCAGACATAGGGCCCTATGAAATCAGTTTTTCCCCCCCAAATTCCATTTAAATTTTTCTGGACTACTTTTTAAATGGTTACATTAAATTGTATTAATCAAAAAGTATGTCTAATTGATTAGAATCATGGAACTTATACAATTTCACATCAAGTTTAACAAAAATGACATGTTTAGGGCTCTCACCATACGTTTTGTTACCAATTCGGTTTTAGCATTATTTGAACGCATAAAAACAACTTAATTTATTCAAATTGATTCTTACAATAGCCTTATGAATTTTGTGTGTTGTGTATTTAAGTTTTCCTGGTTATCAGAAAAATTTAACTTTATTTTTTGACAAACAACAGGGATTTGCTATTTAAATTAAAACATGGAAGAAATGTTTTGTGATTATTCCTTAAAAAAATAAAGGGACATTTTGTATACATTTAAATATACATTAAATTCTGTTTTTAATGACTGGATTCTGCATCGCAGAAATCATAGGGCCTTACAGACATTATTTAAAAGCTAAAAGCCTGGCAGCTCACTTGGCCTGCATTTCTGTCATTTGTTCATGACTTGAGTGACTCAAGCATGCGGTATAGATGCTCACCTGTCCTCCTCGCCCTCCAGCAGCTTCCTGTAGGCGTTGATCTCCATGTCTAGGGCCAGTTTGACATCCAGCAGCTCCTGGTACTCGTTGAGCTGCTGCTGCATGCACTCCCTCAGCTCGGCCATCTCGCGCTCCTTGGCGTCTAGCTGTCGGCGGTACTTGTCCCGGTCGCTGGACAGCATGCTCTCCAGCTCGCGGATGCGCTCCTCAGCGGCAGACGCCTGTGAAGGGACAAAAACAGGTCATGAATGACAGCTAGGAATTCACCGGATCATTTCTGCTGCTCAGCGTTACAACAGTGTGTGATGCTTTCCTGTAAAAAAAAAAAAAACGAACAAAAAAAACAACAGGCATTTCAACTCGGACATTTAGACATCAGCTTTCGGGTTTCTGCAGATTTTGACGTTTCATTTCCCTCCCCCCAAAGAGCACATGCTCCAGATTTGAAAAATTTAGGAGCACTTAAAAAAAAAAATTTGTTAAAATTGAATAATTATGTAATTATTTATAGGCCTTAAAAACTTTAAAACCTTTATGACTTTATAACTTGATGTGTATCCCTATTTACACATGTATGTACGAGTATATATATATATATAGTGACATTTTTTGAAATGACTATGATTTATTGTTAATTTAATCCTACTATATTTAATAAAAACAACATTAAGCTGTATCGGGATTCCTGTTTTTCTATCCCCAATTTGTAATATCTCATATATAATATCTCTTAAATATAATATTTTAGGCCATTAAAGATATTTATATAATGTAAATACTTAAACTAAAATAATTTAAATAATAAAAGCTATACACTTGATGACAAAATATAAAAAATAATGTTATAAATATAAATAATAATATATTACATAAAAATAACAAACAAAAATAAAATAAAATTTATAAAAATAAAAGCTAGTTATATGGATAATGTAAAATGCAATAAATAGTCATTATTAACCAAATAAATAAACTACTTCATCTTTATGACCTTTAACCTTTTAATTTTAAGGACCCGTAGTCACTTATGCGAGTGAAAACATTCACTGTCAAGCCCTGTATTACGGAAACACTGGCCAAATCCTGCCTGAAGAAGTACATACGGCAAAGTAGTACGCTGAAATGGAAACTACTCTTGTCATAACGTCACTAGTGCAAGAGTTTATAAGCAACATTAACCCTAAAAACTAAGCATACTTGATTGATTAGAACAGTCACAGGAACTAGTATGCCAAGTATTATGACTGAAGATGCTGTAACTTTATTTAGTACCTGTTTCTGCAGAGCACTGAGCTGATAGCTCAGGCCCTCGATCCTCATGTGGGCTTCCTGCAGCTCCTCGCGGGCGGTGAGCACTGCCTTATCATTCAGGTCAGACGACACCTTGGCATTATCCAGCTGCAGAAGGAAGATTTCAGTTAGCTTAAACAAAACACACTTCCAAAAGCAACTTTATTTGCAAACCTAGCGTTTCGTGACCTTGGCCTTGAAGGTATGCTGCAGCTCGTCCTTGTAGATCTGCACTTGCTCCTCGTGCTGTCTGCGCAGATCCTGCAGCGCCTGTGCCAGCTTAAACTCGTAGTCCTGCTGCATGCCCGAATCCACCTCCACCATGCGCTTCTCACGACGCTGGCGAGTCTCACGCACCTCCTGCATTACACATTCATGTTTTAGAGCTGACCTTTAACTTGAGAAAATAATGGTCACCGGATATATCGGCCGATATTTGGCATTTTTTTAATTATCTGCCAATATTTTCTTCTGTCTGAATTTTTCTACCTCATATGGGACTTTTATTTTGACAGCAGTTTAGGGGTGTGCGATATTGACAAAAAATAATTTTGATATTTTCTGGGATTTTATCGATAATAATTAGACGATATTATTGCTGAGTGTGTTATTGTGCTGGTATCTTAAGGACTACCGTGGACGGCTGACTCCTAATGTTTCTTTAATGTTAACGATATTCTTCATATTCTGTGTGATGGTCAGTTCACAGCAGTGACAGAAATTAATCGTTTCCAATAAGTTTAAATTGATTTTTAAATTTTAATGGGCATTTTTACCTTTATAAAGCAATTTTTTCTAAAAGTGTGTGTCATCTTTTGAGTCAATTCTTAAATTTCATCAGTCAATTAGAATAACAAGACATTTGGGCTGTTACCAAGCAAATTAAATCAGAATCAACTAAATTAACAGTAGCTTTAATCCGTTAACATGAGCACATTAATGATCAATTAACAGTACCCCCTTGAAGGTCAAGTTAATTATATTTTCTCTATAGCGCCAGATCACAACAGAAGTCATTTAAAGTTACCTTTCATATAGAACAGGTCTATACCTTGTTCTTTTATTAAGCGAACTAAATAGCCTTATGTTATTTATCTTATTTACACGACGGCATGTCAATTCGGTCTCTACGTTACATGCTTGTGCTCTCTGCATCGCGCACAGCTGAGTTCCACCCCGATGCGCGCACACAAGTGAGCACACTCCCACCCTCATTAGTATTTGTAATTATATAGCCGCAAAACGACTATTAAAATATGAATTCTGCGTGTCTCTGTGTTAATGAATACTACACAAAACCAGATGCGTGGTTTTGTGTAGTACTCGTACTGAAGCGACTCTTCCGGTGATATTAACGTCTGCCGTCTCACTGAATGAGGACATAAACACATGAACAACATCTCCAGAACTGCCCTGAGAGTCACTTCATGAGCATTTGACCGTTTCATTCGCGTAAAACTATCCTCATATCATATAAAGACAGGAATGTAAAGGTATTCACGGCAACCCATCAAAATAAAAGTTTGGTTTAACTTGAAGACATTGCGGCAGAAATATATTACTATTGTTCAGCAGAATGTACGTAATAGGCTACTACTACTAAAATTATTAAAACCTTATTTTTAAGTTATAATCATACAATATTTCTTCAATGTTTTAATTGTAATATTAAATGCCCCTTATTTTCCAAAAATAAAATGTTTAATTTTCATTCATTAAAAGAGATTAAATTACTGTTTTGTGCCTTTAAAAAAATTAAATACACAACAGAATTTCTGAGGAAAAAAAATCATAAGGCTAATGTAAGAATAAATGAAACATGTTTTTATGCTTTCAAATAATTAGACATGCTAAAACAGAATTTGGTAACAATAAAACATAAGGTTGGAAAAAATAAAACATTTCATAGGGCCGTAAACCTAGGAGAAACACTGAATATGGCGTCTAAAACGCAAGTCTCTTAATTAACTTCTTGTTTATTGAACTGTTGTAAAAAAGTAATCATACTAATGAAAAAAAAATGGCACGTGTGATATTGATCAACTATATTAAAATGATATAAATATATGCATTTTCTGCCCCATATCTTGAATTTTGTGATCATTTTAAATGCATTTTAATAAACTGAATCATGCCGCGTAAGAACGCACTTTAAACAATTACGATATTATCGCAGGCGATATATATCGCACACCCCTAGCGCAGACTGATTGTCTTTTATTAGTGACAGTGAGCCGCACTGACCTCCTCAAACATGCTCTTCCTGAACTCCAGCTCCTCCGCCAGACTCTGGCAGCGGTTTTCCAGATCCACCCTCATCAGCGTCTCCGCCTCCAGCTGTTTCTTGGCCACACCGTGAGCGTTTTCAGCCTGAAACGGCGAGACCAGCACCTCCATTAAGACGTTATTCTGAAGCGAGGGAGGCCGAAATGAGCATCGAGGGACTTACTTTGGCCAGCTGAGCCTTCAGGTCGGCGAGTTCTGCTGATAAAGACTTGTTCTCGCTGAGCGCCGTGTTGAGAGCCGCCTCGTTCTTGTTGTACTGCGCTTCCAGTTCCTTGATACGAGCCTGAGCCAGAGCCAAGTCTCCATCCTTCTTCTTATAGCTGGAAAACAAATTCAGACGGTCAATCTTTGGATGAATTGTCATTGCATTACAAAAACAAAGATTTATCTATTACACTTGAATGTGCTTCTTAATGTGTTTTCATATCAAAATGTACTGTGTTCAGTTTTAATGCACTGATTTTTTTTTTTAAACATAAGCCACAGAAAATATATTTTATTGACGCCAAAGGGTAAAAAATATATTTTATTGATCCCAAAGATCAATAAAAGATGCTTTATTGAACAAGAAGTACTTTATTACATTCGTGCATTGAAAGATGACAATCTCACTAATCCCAAAAAGTTAAGTGTTAAATTTAATAACTGTACTCAAATATTCAATATGATAATAATGTATAATTCCATAAACATCAAAAATTTCCAGTAACAAAAAA